GAGTTTTTGCAATGCTCTTTGTCGCAATAAATTCAGCTCTTACAGAGAATGACCGGCAATGTCATGGTAGTTGAGGTGAGAATGTAGTATTGTGGAGAAATTTTCTAGGGTTCATTTGAGACATAAAAAACGTTTTAATGATGTATATTTACTGAGTTTTTGCAATGCTCTTTGTCGCAATAAATTCAGCTCTTACAGAGAATGACGGGCAATGTCATGGTAGTTGAGGTGAGAATGTAGTATTGTGGCGAAATTTTCTAGGGTTCATTTGAGACATAAAAAACGATTTAATGATGTATATTTACTGAGTTTTTGCAATGCTCTTTGTCGCAATAAATTCAGCTCTTACAGAGAATGACCGGCAATGTCATGATAGTTGAGGTGAGAATGTAGTATTGTGGAGAAATTTTCTAGGGTTCATTTGAGACATAAAAAACGATTTAATGATGTATAATTACTGAGTTATTGCACCGCTCTTTGTCGCAATAATTTAGCTTTTAAAAAAAAAGTCACCGGCATTGTTTATGGTAGTTGAAGTGAGACATTTTTTAGGGTTCAATTGAGACACATAAAACGTTTTAATGATGTATAATAAATAAAAATCCTTCAGTAAACTTATTAGATGTTTAGGAACATATTTCTCATCTGAAATTTTTTCACTAAATCAATGTTAAAATCAATAATTTATTTTTCATCATTACATTGAATTTCTATCTTTATGAATTTTTTCGCAGATTTCTTCATATTCTACAAATGTTGTGTTTTCAATAAAAATTCAAGGAAATCTACAGAAAATGTTTGTGAACAATAAGACATTACAGAAACCAATAACTGAATGAAATTACTTATTTTCTATGATAATAGTTAATTTTTATTATCTCAACCTGTTCCTAAACAACTAATTAGTATACTATAGAATTTTTACTACATCTTTCGTTTCGTCGTCGTTATTGAACAATTAGTTTTAATTCTCAAAATCATCTCTCAAAAATGAACAATTTATATGAGGATTTTAAAGCTTGAATTTGCGCTCTTGCTGAACAAATATGCACTTTAAAAACGTCTCATAGGTCTCAAATGATTCCTAAAAAATGTCTCCGCAATACTACATCCTCAGTTTAACTACCATACATTGTCGGTCACGCATTTGAAATGTTTTTCAACTGCAATAATTTTTTCGTATACATTTTTATAAAAACAACAGTGCAGCTATTTTTATTTGTATTAATGGTGGATTTCCAAAAAAGAAATTGAGTCTGTGCCGCAAAATTTTATTCCCTATACCTTTGCAATCTGATGGTGTAAACCTTTGATATTTCAAATTTTGATGTAATAGAATAATATTATAAAAAATATGTGGGTTTGTTTTTCCAAAATAATTCACTCTGTAAAAGGGCAGCTATTACAGCATCTGTTAAAAGAAGACCAGAAAACCTGGGATGTACTAAGCCTAGAGGTTTCAAAAACTTATAAAGTTTAATTTTTGAAAACACTTTTTGTTCGGATGATTGCAAATATCTATCTAAAACTTTCTTCTAAACTCATTTTGTTAAGAGTTTAAGTCAATACTAGTATTGATAAATATTGCTTTACATCGAGTAGATATTCTTAAATGCCGGGGTACAGGGGGTACTGCAGTTACTGCAGGGTACTGGGGGTGTAATGGGGGCACTGGGGAGTAATGGGGGTACTGTGGGGTACTTCAGTTACTGGGGGTACTAGGGGGTTCTGAGGTGCACTGAGGGTACTGGAGGGTACTGCGGAGAAATAGTGGGTACTGTGGGATACTGTGGGGTACTGTGGGTAACTATGGGGTACTGCAGGTACTGGGGGTACTGGGTAATACTGGGGGCTAATAGAGAGTATTGTGTGATACTGCAGGGTACTGCAGGTACAGCTGTGTACTACCGGGTACTGGGTGGTACTGGGTTAAACTGTGGGGTATTGGTGAATACTGAGGGTATTTGGGGTGTTACTGGGGGGGTACTGGTGGTACAGTGGGGTACTACAGGGTACAGGGGAGAACTTTTTGGTACTGGGGCTTCGTGATAAAGAGGGGTACTTGACAGTAATAGGGGGTACTGTGGGGTACTAAGGGGAAACCCACATACCCCCATATTTCTCCCCAGTACCCCCCACTACTCCCCAGTACCACCCAGTAGCCCCAGTACCCGCATAACCCTCCAGTAACCCAAAGTAACCCACATTACCCTACAGTATCCCACAGTACCATGCGGAACTCCCCAGTACCCCCAGTACTCCCTCCTTCCCCCAATATGCACCCAGTACCCCCCAGTACCCCCCAGTACCCAGTAGTACCCAGCAGTGCCCAGCAGTACCCTACAGTACCCCACATTACTCTACAGCACCATCCAGTATCCTCTACTACTCCCTAGTACCCCCAGTTCCCCCAAATACCCGGTACCACCCAGTACCCCCCAGTACCCAGTTGTACCCAGCAGTAATCAGCATTACCATGCAGTACCCTGCAGAAACCCAACAGTATCCAACAGTACCAAGCAAAAAAATGCAAAAAAATATTTCTGACACCCCTAGGCTTAGTATGTCAATATAAATCACCAAACCTATGCTGCAATCTTCAATTATCATACAGGGAAATTTTCATCTTTCTAAGCATCCAAGGAAAATATTTGACAGGTTGTGAATGTCAATATTTTTCAAGGAAATTATGAATTTTTGTAAAGATTCGTAATAAGTAGATCCAACATATAAATATCCATAGTTTGATAAATTAACATACAACAGGAAATGTTTTGATATGTCAATTGCGTGTTGATACCTGATTTTAAATCATATAAAATTCTAAAAACAAACTGCACTGAAGATATACACAAAGATCTAGAAAAGATGAATGAAAACATTTCAGAGAAAATTTCTTTGACTCTATTCAATATTTTGTTTATTTTATATTGTTAACTTTAGCTTGCATCTGGTTAGTAAAAACCTTAAAGGGACTGTAAGCATAATTTAAAGTAACCCTCCATGTAAAGATGACAATGTCCGAAACCTCAATCTGATCAAAAATGTGGATGATATTGTCGTTTTTTTTACTCTAAAAGTGTTTATTTCTTTGAGTTTTTCCATTGCTTCTTATAATCAAGGAATGTGCACGGCATTTTAGCATAGAAACCGCAATTAAAATAACCGTATACATAAACAAAACCATTGATATATGATTCATACTTGATCAAGAATATTTTGTTCCAAATTAGAAACAGAAATTTTTTCACAAGTATCATCATATCCCAAACATTGTGTTCATAATTTTAAATTTGTTCATAGTTTTGAATTGATTGTTCATAATTTTGAATTGATTGTTTATAATTTTGAATTGATTGTTCATAGTTTTGAATTGATTGTTCATAATTTTGAATTGATTGTTAGTAACTTTGAAATGTTTTCTAGGATTTCTTCTAATATTTCTAAAGAACAAACACAGCTGAAAACTTTAGAATGGGATATCCTTAATCCCGATCGGTTGATTAATCTGGAGATTAATAACAAGAGGAGAACAAGCATTATTACTCTTGAGATTAATAACAAGAGGAGAACAAGAATTATTTATCTGGGATTAAGAAAAAGAGGAGATCAAGCATTGATCTCAATATCCACAATGCTAAAGTTTTCAGCTCGAGCAAGTGATATCTTACACAAAACATCCAATTTGTATTCATATAAGAACTATATATATTGTGACTTTATGCTTGTAATACCATGATTTCATTATAGATTAAAAAGGGTTGAATTGGCGATGAAATAACGGGGATTTTTTTCAAATTCAATTGTCTGTTCAAGTTTGTTTATTAAAGTGCTTATGTTTAGGTAGATTTGTTGTCCCCACTAAGAGATCCCTACTGCCTGCCGCATGCTTAAAATTATAGAAAAAATAATGTTCAATTTATATTATTCAAATCATTTGCTACAATTAATTGGTCACAACCCTATGAATTCAAACAGTATTTAATCATATAAAAATTGTAAGTCATATCTCTATTCTCTAACCCAAATTCAGCTGGAATATTACAAAAAGTTTGAGAATGTTTTGCCGTTTGCGGCATTTTCCGCGAAAGAAAGGGCTCTTTACAGACGCTTTTTTGTAGAACATCGTTTATGGAGCATTTTCATTTTTACACAAATCTAAAATTTAATTGGGAAAATTTGATATTTCATCTATGCCCTAACGTCGCCATATTTTTAAAAAATGTATTTATTTTCAAGGATCGGACACTGAAAAAAAATAATATTGAAAGGACGAGGATTTCGATGTGGTTCGGACGAGAAAATGATGAGAATGTGGTTCGGACTAGAGATTGATGTGGTTGGCCTTCCTCCCCTCCTTGGATCGATTTTCCTCAAAAGTGAAACTAAGGAAATGTTCTTTGCCTGGTTTAAAACTTTGAGACAAGAGTTTTAAGAACATCGTGTGATAAAACCCCAGTACAAAGAATCATGTTGATTGTTATAATTTTTATCATATTTCTAATTAAAGCTTCTTGGGTTCCGTTGACCGTTTTAGCTGACTAGATAGTTTAAAGGCACCTTGTTCAAACGAAGCATAGAGCAAATAAAGTTGAACATTTATTTAAAATTATTTTAGGAATTGTTTTAATATCTATAAATACTTCATATACAATGAAAAGTTTTTAAATATCAACCCCTCTAACCCTCTGTTACTTTTGGCCTTGACTTCAACAGTTAAAGATTCATTTAATGGTTTTTTTGAACTTATGATCAGATTTACGAGGTTTACAAATAAAATAGCTTCAAATTGCTCTGATGACATGTGAAAATATTTTCTGACATAAAAAAAAATTATAAGGATAGAAATAAGTAAAATTTCAAATAATTGTTTGCCTGAAAAATTGAAAATCCACCAAACACATTAGGAAAAATTCGCAAACATTGTTTTATCTTTAAACAAGATGCAGCCAGGACAGGACGCTCCTCGTTTTTCAGCTCCAGCCTACATTGATGGCGACATTAAAGAAATTGACCTCAACGACTATAGAGGTCATTACATTATTCTCATTTTTTATCCTGAAGATTTTGGCACCGCAATAACTACCCAGTTAATCCAAATTGCTCAGCTAAAAACTTCCATGCCGAATGATTGTGTTGTTCTAGCAGTTTCTACAGATTCAGTGGAGTCCCATGCTGCTTATGCAGAGCTTAGTGTTGAGAAAGGAGGAGTAAAACACACAAATATCCCGCTCATAAGTGATAAGAACGGAGAAATCTGTCGAAGATATCAAGTTTTGCATAATGCTACTCATGTTGCGGCTAGCTCAGGGTTTGTCATAGACCGGGAAGGCGAGATTGTTATGATGTTCTATTGTGACGACAACCTGGGCTATGATATGGCAGAGCCGTGTAGAATTGTTCTCGGAGCTATAGCTTGTGACAAAGAAGAAGCTTGGGATAAATTGAGAGGTACAGGGGCTGACTGGATACCTGGAGAGCCTCTGGTCAAAGTTAACGATTTGATCACCAGTCGTAACATAAGAAGAACTGTTTCTCACGGCGAGTTCAAGGATCACATTGAGCCATCCTCCTCTTCGTCACAAAATCAGGATGATGCAGCTTCATCTTCACAGGATAAAGCTAAATCTCCATCTCCTGCTCCGCCCACCAAAGCTAAATCTCCATCTCCTGCTCAACCTGAAAAGGCTAAATCTCCATCTCCTGCTAAACAGGAAAAGGCTAAATCTCCGTCTCCTGCCAAACAGGAAAAATCTAAATCTCCATCTCCTGCTCCTGCTCCACCCACCAAAGCGAAATCTGCATCTCCTGCTCCACCTACCAATGCTAAACCTCCGTCTCCTGCTCAACTGGAAAAAGCTAAATCTCCATCTCCTGCTCCACCTACCATTGCTAAACCTACATCTCCTGCTCAACCTGAAAAAGCTAAATCTCCATCTCCTGCTCCACCTACCATTGCTAAACCTACATCTCCTGCTCAACCTGAAAAAGCTAAATCTCCATCTCCTGCTCAAGCTGAAAAGACTAAATCTCCGTCTCCAGCTAAACCTGAAAAAGCTAAATCTCCATCTCCTGCTCAAGCTGAAAAGACTAAATCTCCGTCTCCAGCTAAACCTGAAAAAGCTAAATCTCCATCACCTGCTCCTTCTCTATCAAGAGCTGGAACTCCGAACCCTCCTACCAAGAAAAAGATAGACGAGGATATGCTAAGCCTGTGTTCAGCTACAACTGCAGGTTACAATTTTAAATAAAGAAATTGAATTATCTTTTACCAACAGTGGTCTTAAGTTAAAAAAGCTCATTCTCTGAGTGGTTGCCATTTCATAATTAACTTTGTGATCGTTTAGGAACAAACATGCAAGTCTCTGCTCCCCCCACACAACCTCCTTCTAAACCAGATCCTGCTCCTAAAGCTCCAACTCCAGCTAGAGCTGTTACGCCTAAACCTCCACCCAAGAAGAAGATTGACGAGGATATGCTGAGCTTGTGTTCTGCTACAACTGAAGGTTAAGATTACAATATATGCATACCTACAAAGTATATTTATAGTAATTGTCGTACTCTTAAAACTTCGTCCAGAACTATATCTGTCCAGGTACAACTCGTCAGCTATAAAGGACACAAATTCTTCAGCGATCAATGCTAAACCAATGGGCACGATCTTATCGACTCTGAATTTCACACAGGGACACTTAAGTGTAGCTTTCAAACAAGCTCATAATCGAACAAGGCCAAATCTCTAGGCACAATCTCAGCTCGTATGTTTCAACGAGAACCAAATTACTCTCAACACTGTAATCAAAGCAGAATCATTATATCAACTAATCTATTTTAGATATCTTATGTTACAAGTTAACATGAATTGACGTAATTACAAGTTCTATGTCAATATATATATATACAGCGTAGTTTAAGTTGAATGTAAATATTTAAAAGATTAACATGGATATAAACGTAGTTAATCTAATCACAATGCATGTTTTAATCATGTTACGTAGATCATGTTTATCAATATTTATTACAATTACACAATATTTATTACATGTAATGTTCTTTAGAAAGGTTAAAAAGTAAATAACATTGTTTCAACCATTAATTTAAACTGAAAGGTCAGATTTATCTTATAGCGGGAAGTACAGGACCTAGGTCTGGATTGTTGAACTAGTGTTTTGTGCACTCTTGGCTTAGATCGAGAACTAGATTAACTTTATGTACCTCTATCCACTACTCCTCGCTATTCATCTGTAAAACCAGGACATATGTAAACTGTTACTGACAACTCTGTACCAGCTTACACCATAATCACATCACATTGAACTAAAGCTCATCAACTTTTGGCTTAATATCAGCCATATTTTGAGAGAAGTCTTTTCTCTTTTTATTCTGCTTTTAAAATAAAATAAAACTGGAGTTTATAAAAGAGTTTAAAGTGAAAATATAAGTTTTCTTAATTTCTAGGAACTGATATGAGAATGAGCTTAAACCCGCCTCCTGCTAAATCCAATCCTAAAACGGGAGCAGCCGGTACTCAACCTAAGACAGGAGCAGCTGATGCTGAACCTAAGACAGGAGCAGCTGGTGCCAATTCCAAGACAGGAGCAGCTCCAACCAAAGATGATTCTAAGAAAGACGAGAATCCGTTTGCAGATGTAACTTCTTTAGCTTATACTATAGCTCCTTCTAAACACGATAGTATACTTATTCCTAAATATAGCGATGAAAAGGGAAAAGGAATGGGAAAGTTTTAGATACATTTAGAATTAACCATGCTAACATTATAATATTAATAAATTTTATTTTAAAGATTTTTTATCTATCTATACAAAGTAGTAATCTCTGTTAGGGTGTTCGTATGCCCAATAACCACTTGACCCATATGCCTCAAATTTTGATTGGGGAACTCAGTAGTACAATTCTAAGTTGAGTGGATTGTGTTTTATAAGAAGAACATGGGTTCCAAATCTATATATTTGTCTTGTCTGCTGGTTTGTGTGTATCCAACTAATCAACTCTAGAACTCACATGACCCTTGGGAAGGTTTATGAATGGTCTGAATTTTAGAAAATTGTATCAATATAGTTTAGATTTTTAAGAAATTTTCTACATCCACAAATGAAAACATAAAATATTTATTAGTTTAAAATGTATCTACACAAACCTTTGAGATAGAACTGCAGCAATAAAAAATCATTTTTGCCATTAGATATAAATCATTTTGTAAAGGATTAGTTCAACATAATGTGTATAATACAATAACCATAATATCCTTAAAATGGTTGAAAATATTTAGAAAACATTTCAAAAAGCCGAATATTTGGTAAAAGAAAAATTTAAGTTTCCATGAATTAGATCAAAGGTTCTGTAAGGAAGCAAGGATCAAGATTAAAATTATCTAGAAAACGAAACCATGAACCATAGTCAGATATTTCAAAGCTTACATTTGAATAATTCTCAATGATTAGGAACACTTCAGAAAAAAAAGTTTTAAACTTCGAAAATGCAACCAACTATATTTGCTTCCCTCTTATTTATGCGTCCGATCAAAACTATAGGAGCTACGAGGTCACATGGCTGGACCAGTAAGTTCCCATGAAATCACTTTGAACAATTTTGAATATGATAAAATGGGGGGAAAGTGCGAAGGGTTGGGTCTTTGTCACAAACTATATATTTGCAACCTGATGGTGGAGATCTTTGATATGTAAAAGGAATTGACTCTTTGCCACAAACTCTGATTTTCTAATCCCAATATCTTTGGAACCCAATGTCGTAAACCTTTGATATTTCAAACTTTTATTTTTTGATCTAACAAAAGTCATAGTTTGAAATTTCACAGGTTTACGACGTTGGAATCCAAAGATATAGGGATTAGAAAATCAGAGTTTGTTGCAAAGAGTCAATTCCTTTAGATTTTTTTAGAATTCCTAGTTGAAATATGTAAGGCCTATTAAATTGGATTGCAAAGCTATGGGGATAGGAAATCAGAGTTTGTAGCAAATACTCAATTTCTTTTGGTAATAACTTTCTTAACTAAGACAAGTAACCTTTCATCTTGTCCACCCCGGCCCTCTCTACCCTTTCACCGCCCTTTGCCCTCCATCCCTTGGTGGTTTTAAACCCTTGGCTTACATTTGAAGCAGAGGATTTTGGGATGACATCTTTTTTTTTAATCATGGAAGGGGTGGAGGAATTAATTCCTTGCAAAAACTCTGATCTTCTAATCCCTTTATTATAGACCTTTGATATTTCAAACAATAGAACTCAGAGTCCAAAACTAAAGAACGAAAAGTTTTGACTTAAATTTTAAGTTCATGGTTAAATGCCACTTCTGACTTAATTTAAACCTGAACTTTAACCGTGAGGTTAAATATTTAACTCGCCGAAATCGACGAGTTAAAATTTAAACACAGGTTTAAATTATCTTGAAATCCTGCATTTTCCCTATTTGTCTATTATTCAATCATCATTCAGCTGAAGCTGAGAAAGCGGCATTCAACTTTACGATATATTTAAAAATGAAAACCTTGTTAAAGAAATTTCACGTTTTAGATAAATTAATTTTTGCATGTAAACCCAAAAAACGGTTGTATGTTTTGTTTTCGGTTACGTAAGAACAGCTGATTAGCGATGGTTATGTAATATTCTCCGTAAATCCTTTTTTCTGATTGGTTCAGATTTTCCCGGGAAATTCAAATTTAAAATTGAGAAAGTTTAATATTTAAGTAGCTATTCATTATTTTACACAACTTTTAACCTCGAACTTAAACTTCGCGCATTCTTTAGTTTTAGACTCTGTTTGATCAAATAACCTAAGTTTAAAATATCAAAGGTGTATATAATCAGGTTGTAAAGATATAGGGATCAGAAAATTTGAGTTTGTGGGCGTGTTGAAAATTCCTTTATTTTGTCTTTGTAATTTTTTGTTGTTGAAGGGATGGACCGGCAATGAATGGTAGTTGAACTGAGAATGTAGTATTGTGAAGAAATGATCTATATTAAATGGAATTGTTCATCTATATTAAAGGGATTGTTCATCTTTATTAAAGGGATTGTTTATCCATATTACAGGGATTATTCATCTGTATTAAAGGGATTGTTCATCCATGTTAAAGGGATTGTTCATCTATATTAAAGGGATTGTTCATCTATATTAAAAGGATTGTTTATCGATATTTAAGGGTTTGTTCATCTATATTAAAGGGATTATTCAATGTTCATATATATCAAAGGGATTGTTCATCTATGTTAAAGGGATTGTTCAATGTTCATCTATTATAAAGGGATTGATCATCTATATTAAAGGGATTGTTCATCTATGTTAAAGGGATTGTTTATCCATATTAAAGGGATTGTTCATCCATATTAAAGGGATTGTTCATCTATATCAAAGGGATTGTTTATCTATGTTAAAGGGATTAATGATCTATATTAAAGGGATTGTTCATCTATATTGAAGGGATTGTTTATCTGTATTAAAGGGATTGTTCATCTATATTAAAGGGATTGTTCATCTATATTAAATAGATTGTTATCTATATTAAAGGGATTTTCTGATTTTCTGAACCCTAATCTTTTAGGCTTGGTGTTGTAGACAATCCCATTGGATCGGTGAATTCACTGGTTTCCAAGGGGTTTCTAGGTCCCACTGGGTGCTGATTCATGTGAAAAAAAATGTAAGCTCCCCCCTCCCTCCTCCCCTGGATAAATTCGTGTATACGCTTTCGTTAGGTCCGAAATGTAAGAAACATTCAATTTGAAATAATTTAATTTCTAAATTATTATTCTATGAGAAATGGAAAAGAATGCCTTCTAACTATATTAGTTTAATGCTATGTGTAACTTCCCAGGTTTTATAAAATATTTCAGGATTCATGACAAACAATACTTTGGCCTCAACATCTACCCTGTGGCCTGAAAGCCTAATTAAAAGATAAATTCTCTAATTATAAGCCAAGGAAGCTAATTATAAGCCAAGGAAGCTAATTTCGTCTTTTAATCTTTCTTTACAATACAGAAGTTAAAAATAAAATTTAGTTTAAACAATTTGAATAATAATTTATTTAACTGAAAGAAACAAACTAATAACTCAAATTTTTTATGTTTTTAGATTCTTTTTTACTTTTATAGAACCTTTTAACGGAAATTCAAGTGAATCTTGTGTCATTAAAAGAATAAAATGCAAGATTCACAACGTTACCAGTTAAACATTCAATAAAGTAATATTCGGTTTTTATTTTATAAAAACAAAATTATTACAATTTCCTTCCTTGTCTCCGTAGCATATATCCGCTCTTTTAGAATAGTAAACGGACAATTTTTAGATAAACATAATTTACCCCATAATCTACTCTGTTGTAAGGTCGTCTCTGACAGATTGTACCTCCGCTAGACCCTCCGTTCACTTTCCAAACCAAACATTTTCAAAGTCTCCGCGTAAAAGCAAAAAACAAAAGCCTCATATAGCTTTTAAAACTTAAAGTTCATTAAAAGAAACAATTTTAAACATTATTCCAGTGAATCATTTGCAAACAAACAGTGAAATTCCTTTAACCAAATGAATATTTATTTCAGAAGATTAAAATTGCTTTAGACTACAATTCAAACAACTATTCCCATGCTATGCAATTCTAGATCGTAAGTTCCTTATGTTTGATTCACAACAGTACCTTTTAAACCTTTTATTTATCGATTCACAACAGTACCTTTTAAACCTTTTATTTATCGATTCACAACAGTACCTTTAAGCCTTTGTTCTTTTCTCAGTGGTACATATTTCTTAATCAATTGTTCGATTTACAACAATACTCATTTATTTATAATTACACTCAACTGGTTTAATCTTTATTGACAATCATTATTTATATACATGTACGTCAATAACAATTTGTATTTTTTTTGTAGGAAACCTCGTTACTGAAATATACTTTCAACAAGAAGTTATCATCTATGTGTTGTGTGGGAATTAGAGTGTTTTAACCAGCCTATTCGCCTTTGGATTTGTCATCCCTCGAGTTGCATTTCCTTAGCTCCATTTCCGCCGCCCATTTCCAGTCTATATATCCTTTTGGTTTAGTTGACAATAATATTCGCAAAATTTAAGGATATTGTTTTAAATTATCATTTAAGTAAAGTTTAACTTGAAATAACGTCAACAATCCACTTTTTACAGCAGCAGAGTAAAGACTTTCGTGTTGAAAAAATATCATTATTTTAATGTAAGGCATTCTCGTAACGATTCTTAGGCTGACCGCAATTTTATATCCGGCGGACTAAATACATTCTTGAATGTAAACTCACTAACACTCATATATTAATCATCAAAAGCTAGTGTTACCAACATGAGCAATAAAACTAAAAACATACTGAATTGGTAAAATCTGTGATGGAGAAAATCAACCAAGAATTGGGTGGTGAGAGTTCTGAGTGGATCGGAGGATGAAAGCCGGATTAAGAAGTGTTAGAGGAGAAAAGTCTAATGTGAACGTAAATGGTGTGTGAAAGTCGGACACCAACGCTGTTCTCAATGCTATTCTGAAGCAACCCATCAGATTTTTTGCTGAGGAGAATCTGTAAAACCCTGAGCATCACGGAAATCAAAGATCTAGTTAAAAATACCAAAGCTAAATAAATAGTGACTTGTAACAGTGGAATACCAAATATGTGTTCTTTTTGCACATTAAGTTAGTGAGTTATTTGTATTTTTAAAATCGGATATTTTTATAATTTCTTAATTTTCTTATTAACTATAGAATTACAAATGAAGTTATTATTTACATTGTTTTTCCTGTCCCACGCTTTACTTCCG